TCAACACAGTCATTAGGAAGTATACTGCGTTAATTGTTTGTGTTGAATAGACCTTATTGACAATATTATAACTTTGTATTAATCGAATGTAACTTTGTAAGTATCGAATGTATCAAGGAGGAGAAAGATAGGTATATAAAATGAGTTCATATTAAAAATTGAGTGTTTTACAAGAGAGCCTAAATCTTATTGTTTCTTTATGATACATAAGTATAATTTCATATTTTATTTATACTCTATTTTATATCTATTTCCATCGTAGAATACTGCTTATATCAGTTACAGACTACAAAGTGTCACCATTAGCACAAATAGAATAAAAATTGAAAATTTTTTACACATGACCCTCCGTACTAACATTAGTGATATATACTCAATAGTTATGTTTTCACTCGTAAAATGAATGGAACGAAAAATCCATATTGAAAATTCAACTTTTTGGTTGTTTGGAGTTAACGAGACCAATACTTTTCTTCTGTCACGACCAACCTAATTGACCTGGAATATAGAAATATGTGTGAAGTTCATACAACTTTGATATTTAAGGAGGGAATCGAGACCACGACGAGGTAGTTGAACTTCAAGAGAAATAAACACAATTACAAATAAGAGGTTCTTTTTTTTTTACCAACTCAGAGTAAAAATTAATTTAAATTTACTGAAAATTACACGAAATCTAAGTGACGGCAGTAAGTTTCATGACAAATAATTTTGAATCAACCAAACAATACATTATAAATTAAATTTTTGGATAAAACCTAAAATTTTATAACCTTTATATATAATCTCTCATTGGTTTTTTTTTTTTTTATGCTATTGCATATTTTTTTTCAACCACTGATGTGATACCTATACGGATTAGTACACTATGATGCAATTAACCAAGTTTTGTTTTGTATACTTTTGCACATTTAAGTATAATCGTCTATAATTGCATATTTGAGGATAAAGGGATATTCTTGTATATTGCATGATACATCAATATAATTGTATATTATGAATAATTTAATAAAGTAAATAAAATATATTTGTGTAAATAAATATGGATTTATATAAATAAATTAAAAAGGAACATTGAAAATCTAAGGTTCGCAGGTTTATTTTCATTGAATAAAACAACCAAATCTACCACATTTGTTGATATACCCTTCAATAATTATCTGTATAGATTTCAGTAATTCCCGGGAATTCATTTCCCCTTTTTTCCTGTGTTAGCAGCATACTAAGTTTCTATATCTGTTTGTTGCCTATTCTATTTGTAAGAGAACATATTTCTGTTAATTTAAAATGCCAAAAGTATATTCAACATTTTCATCAAAGTTTAAATCTTGGATTGAACCTCACAACTGACAGGAAACAGTTTTACTACTGACAGAAAACCGGCGGTACTAGTCCAAGTGGAACTTTAAATGATAAAACGGATTTTTTTAATGAACAAATCAGGTATTAATTATTTATTTCTGGAAAGTATTAATACAAGTTTAAGGGGCAAAATTTAAATTGTTCCCAGCGACATTAACCTCAACTGATAATTTTAAGTAGTTATAATGAATACTCAATAGTTGTATTATTAAGGAAGGAGGTGGTCGGGGGATGGCGGTCATAAATAGACTAAATAGTGGCAAAACTATTTTATTAAAAGCCAACGTTTCGAACCGACTTTGAAGGGCTTCTTCAGGGAAGTGTCTTCAGCAAGAGTTTCACTTAGAGCTGCAGTTCCAAGTGAAACTTTCAGTTCTAAGATGAACTCTTAGCTGAACACACCTCCGTGAAGAAGACCTGCAAAGTCGGGTCGAAACGTTGGCTTTTAATAAAATAGTTTTGCCACTATTTATGACCGCCACCACGTACCATCTCCTTCCTTAAGTAGTTATAATTTGTCCCTATCACGCCTGTTGATGTAGAAAGATCATTTTCTGATTATAAAAAAATTATAACTGAAAAAAGGTTCGGTTTCACAAAAGCAACTCTAAAAATTCTTGTTAATTATGTTATTGATTCAACAAAGACTCATGCTAGGTTTCTATCCATTAACATACACAATTTTCATGCGTTTACATATCTATTGTTCTATATTAATATGCTTATTTAATTAAGTGTTAATATATTTATTGTTTTTTCCCTTTTTATACACTTTGTATCATTTTGGTATTATAATTTTTTTTAATATGGTTCATATTATGTTTTTGACAATTATAATGTTTGTGTTTAGTTATTTTAAGTCTTTACTTTAAATATTAAAAAAAAAAAAAATTGTTTGAATATTTAATTCCTCTATATTTATTTTTTATTTTAAAACTTTTCGTTGACACATCATTATATTTAAAAAGGTTACTGACAGATTAGTAATTAATAAGTTTAGCATATTTTAGAAATCAGAAAACATTTTTCATGTATTTTTTTTAACAGCATATTTAAGGGTTTTTTACAGCATATTATATGACATAATCTGTGGATTTTTACAGCACACAATTGTGGGCCTTGCTTAAAACTTATAACTACTATGGTTTTCTTTTAACTTATAAGTATACATTCACTCTTGATGAAAACAATTATGGATTAACAACTATTTTTTTTCATGATATTAAGGATATTATCATAACGTGCAAGCAATAATATTTTTTTATTTTATATTACGAAAATTGCATGTATAAATTAATTGCTTTTTTTCCAAATACTTTAAATTATCATCAGCATAACTTGCACAAAACTCGTTTTATGGAATATTAATGACGCCATGACATAATTGTTAAGAAGTAATAATAATAAAGATTTACTAAATGATTTACAATTACTGCATTATTATTTGTACCTAGAATTATTAATAAATATTGTGTAATTATATTATTCCAGATTACCTTTGTAAGGTGATCAATAACAAGTTTAAATAATAAGAACACTATTTTCTGGGGAACTTAACCGATTAACAACAAACAGTTGTTTCTAATTCATTATCTGATTCTTGGATTAGTGGATTTTCTGTAATTGTTTCCTTATAGATTTATTCTAGTCAGGTAAACATAATAAACTAAACGCTGATAATTAATCTGAGTTTGAACAAATACATGTGCTGGATTAGTTTCTTATAGTAATTGATTTAGATTTTCTGTTTAAAATTGAGAACATTATACATATATATATATATATATATATATATATATATATATATATATATATATATATATATATTGCATTATCTATTTATGTATTCCTTAGGTGTAAGGGATATAGTGTCTCAATACATCCACTTATTCATCTAGGAAAGTCTCTTTTAGTAGGGATATAAAATACAATATATTTATGTATGATATTTTTACGATTAGTAATGTTTAATTAAACTTAAAAGATTTTTTTCCATAATAATGATTATTCGTCCCATATAAAACTTCGCATTTTTTTTTATTTTTATTTATTTATATGATATTTACAACTGTATACAAAAAATACATCTGGTAAATTCGCACATGGATATAAAGACATGAAACACATGTTGAGAAACTACCCATTGGTAGCACTCTAATAATATGTCTATATTAGGAGATCACATGGCCATCTTCTTTTCAGACACCTCGGAGGATTATCAGGAATTGAATAGGAAGCAAGGTTAGAAACAAGAGGGTTGGGATGGTTATGAAGTTTATTATGGAAGGACAGATATCTGGATTGGGCCAAATCTGATACATATGGAACATTAAGGTCATTATGGATGATTTTATTTGTAACAAAGTAAGGAGCGTTGAGGATTTTACGAAGGATTTTGGATTGTAAGGATTGGATGCGAGAGGAATTTGAAGGTTTGGTGGAGCCCCATAGCTCAACTCCTTAAGTCCAAATAGGCCTTATTATAGTCATGTAAATTAGTCATTTATAGGTTATTGGAAGGTTAGAGCGTTTGTCTAGTAAGTGTTGAAGTAGTCGGAAACGTCGAGATGTTTCTTGTCGCTTCAGTCTGGTATGAGGATTCCAAGTTAGACGTTTGTCCAGATAGAGTCCTAGGAACTTTGCATTTAAGTGATTTACATTATGGGAGTCATCATTATAATTTTCACGCAATTAATTTTCTTGAAAGTTAAACGTTATAACATAATAAATAACATATATCATTATAAATAACAGTGATACTAAAATAAAAACTCAACAAAGTTCATTTTGTTATTAACAAACCACTTGAAAACAGTATATACATCATTTGTGCGGCAACTTAACCAATTAACAGCAGATAGTTATTTTAAATTCATTATCTGTTTTTTTAATTAATAGGTTATCTAAACTAAAATGTAATAACAATCTTTATCTATAATTTTCGAAAATCATTTCATGAGAGCGATTTTGTTTTTCTATTTTAATCAAAGTAAGTGATCAAAATCATATCGTGATCATTATTTTCGAAAATAAATTTTATAATTAAGAATAATTATAATTCTTGAGTAATAATTTTCCAAATCCGAAATATAATCTATTTAATAATTTAATCTTTATGATATATTTTAAATCTGGAGTAGCAGGTGGAGAATATTACTGTCAACTATTAGCAACAGAACATCTTTATCTCCGAAATTTATTAGAAATTCCGGTTTACGAAATATATATATATGTGTGTGTGTGTGTGTGTGTGTGTGTGTGTGTGTGTGTGTGTGTGTGTGTGTGTGTGTGTGTGTGTGTGTGTGTGTGTGTGTGTGTGTGTGTGTGTGTGTTTGTGTATGTGGTGCAGGTACGGCATGCACAATAAAATACATTTTAGATATTAGATAAAATTTAATATGTTTGAACAAGTTTTATTTTTTTTCCGATCATTTTTTTTTATGTAACAAGGATTGATTTAATAATATCCTTTTCTTGGCTTTATATATTTTTGTGTCAATATGATCTGTCATGGTAGGATAAAAAATTTTGAGAATAATTCTTTATTTATCTAGTAATATCTATCATTATAATGAATAAATTTTACATGAATATGTTATTGAAAATACAATATATATAGGCATTACGTATTCACTTACTTTGTGATGCCCTGCGTGGGCAGGGTCTAGCGTTGCAAGGCCTAGTTTCTCTCCGTTCGATGCAGTTTTCGTCAGCGCAAAGTGAGTTTCTATGTTGAGTTCCTAAGCCACACGTCACGCTGCATTCCGACCAATCGCTCCATTCTGGTTCTAGAAGAAATTTGTCATGAGTTGTCTAAAATTATTTTGGGTTAGTAAATAAAAAAAAAAAATCTTTCTTTTGACATGTAAGAAATATTAGTTAGATTTTATACCGATTCTTTTGATTGAATCTTGTTATTCCCTATCGATTCAGAAATATTTCTTAAAAAAAAATATATAAAGTTTACTATTGATCTAATTCGTCCAGTTTTGATAATCGCAAACCGATAGTAAATCTTGTCATAGTAAACTATATACAATTTTACCTAAAACAAACTTTTAAAGGCATTAGGAAATCTTCGAGGGACCAAAAACTTTTAGAGAAACGTCAGCTTGAACTTAAGACCACTTAAGAAGTTAAAGAAGAAAGTTCAGAAAGTAAAAAGATGTCAACAAGCGTCGGTAGGGCACAAATAACACTTAGGCTTGGTTCATTAGCTTTGAATTTTAAATGACTTTCGTTATTGCTGTATTATTATTATTATTTGGCACTACGGCCCTACAAGAACCAAGGCTTCTCTTGTTATTCTACTCTATCTCGAGTGACTATTCTATATCTCCGGATTCCCATCTTTTTCAGGATGTTCTTCACCTCTTCTAGCAATCTCAGACGGGGTCTTCCTTTGCTTCGTCTTCCACCATGTCGATCATACAGCAGGAGTTTAAGAATGAAATCCTTGGGAATATGTGCCACATGACCCAACTATACTTCTTACAATTGAGATCAAATTCGGTCTTGCATAGATCTCACGAAGCTCGTTATTGGTGCGAATTCCCCATTACTCATTCTCACATACCGGACCGTAGATCCTGCGGAGAACCCTTCCTTCTCATGCGAGTAGGTTCCTTTCTGAGGTCTGAGAAATTACCCAAGTCTCAGAACCATGTGTGACAACGGGTCTTATGACTTTCTCGTAGTGTGGTTTTCGTCCTGCGAGAGAGGGAGTTATAATTTAGCATTTTTCTCATGGCAAAACAGCTATCTGTCTATCCCTAGCAGTCATTCTTGCTTTCAGTTCTTCAGTCATTCATTACTTTCTGTAATTAGAGCACCTAAATACTTAGACGTTTCTACCGCTTTCAGGGTGTGATTAGCAAATGTGACACATTCGTCTGTTCCACTCGTTGTTCTTAAAGTCAGCATGAATTTTGTATTCTTTTTAAAAATATATTGATGGGTTTATTTTATGATGTATAAATATTTTTGTGTGTAATGTACATCATACTTTATTTATTCTAAATAGATACTACATCAGATATTGTCGGTCAAAGAAAATTTTATTTGTTTTTTTCTGTTCGAATTAAAGACCATGTAGATCTTATGCCTTAAGAAACCTGCTCCCTTTCTGTCTGTCCCAAGCTATTTCTTTTTATTTATCTGTCTGCAAGCAGCTCTAACAAATTTTTGTTGATTCTATCCATTCTTCTGCTACTTGGCCTTACACGTTGTCTTTTGCCTTCTATTGAGACATTCAGTGTTACGTAGTCTTCCAGATGGATTGCTACGAGCTACATGCCCCACCCATCTTAACCTCCGTGCCTCATATCATGGGATATTGATGACCTGTTTTTGTAAGAAGTTCTTATTGGTCTTTCTTCTCCACGTGTTAGAACTCCACGATAACACTCCGGTTATCGTGCGGAGTATTTCTCTCAAATCTTTCAACACATTTTTCTAGAGTGCTGGTTAGTGTCGATGTCTCACAGCCATATATAAGAACTGGCTTTATCATTGTACACTCTTAATTTGAGATTTATTGAGATTTTTCAGGATTTTAATACCTTTAAAAGGTCAACAAATTACTGATGATGAATTAAATAATAAAAAAAAAAAATACAAATTTTATATATTTGTTGCTATATATCAAGCATATGGCAATAAAATAAGTACATAGTGTAATTTAACCTAATATTACCTTCGAACTAATATTATAACCCTTAACTAATATTATAATTGGTTGGGAGTTGTAATTTTTATATATAAGTTTCCTGAGATATTAAATCACGCCCATACTTTTGGGGTCTATATGTCCCTTTTTGTTCATCAAGGACATCATTGCGTCATGAAACATTCTATAGCGCACGCGAGACAACATGCCCTTTAGAAGCAGATTTGTTTTACTGCCCGGAATTTTGCTTGTATTGCAGATAATATGAAAGGAAGTTATTTGAAATGTAGTATTTTTTTTAATTTCACAAGCTTTCATTCGAGTACTAATAGTTTATTATTTTTTCAAGAGCAGCATGAACTTATAAAACTAGTATTGAAAAACTGACCAAAACAGAACGACTTTGCTGTTGAATTGGCCCTGCATTTTCAAATACATATATGTCACTTACATATGATATCAGTTGCCTCATCATATCAATGTTATAATTAATTTGAGCCAGAATATAACTGGGTAACATAAAATATTGTCAAACATTAGCAGCTATAGAAGAAAAAAATTACTTGATACTTACTTAAGCTTTTGCGTTTACCTTTTTTGTATTGCGCCCTCAGCTCGGGGGAGCTATGTATTCGTGTGAGAGGTTAAACACAGAATTTGCGATCAGAATCGAAAATTTTCACTCACATTTTACGTTTCTGTCATCAAGGATCGAATTTGTTTTGGTTCATGTCTATAATCTAATCAATATAACGGGCATATCACCTACTACCTTTCATCAAACTTTCATAGAATGTTTAGAGATTGTGCGGTTGGGGGCCTAGATGGTCCCATATCAATTTGATCAAATTCCATATAGTACTTCTGCTTCCACATGCGTATATGTATTTTCATAGATATACTAATATTGTAGAAACGGCCGGTTCATTTATGCTCTAAGTTAATAGAACGGTGGCTTTTGGTGAAATTATGATTCTATGTCGATTTTATTGAAATCTATTCTATACTTTCTGTTATATATGCGCAAACGTATTTACTTGATGCGACTATACCTCTAAAATCGAATGTTCACAATGGCCAAAATTTTGAGAGAAGTTAGAGATTAGCTAGCAGATAATTAAGTAAGCATTAGTTTTATCAAATTCTATCCACTACTCTCAAAAACAATATTTTCACTTTCAGTTCACTAAATGGATTATTTGATACACGTATAGTTTGAAAACAGTCCCTTTCGATTTAACTCAAACTTGAAAGAAAAATCATTTAGAAATTGTCTAGTACTAATTTCATTGAATTCCATTTAAGTTAATATAAATGACTATTAAAAATATACAGACTGTGTAATTTGGCAATCATTTGAAGTGGGAGTTAGGTTAATACAATATTTTTATAGTTATGTAAAATATTAGGTTTTATTAAAAAAATTAAGTTATACTGTATTGTTTAGTTGATTCCAAACGTTAATGATATGACATTTACTTCCGTTACTTAGATTTCTTAAACTTTTCAGTAAATTAATATTAATTTTTACTCCGAGTTCGTAAAAAAAGTCTTATTTTTGATTGTGTTTATTTATATTGAAGTCCAACAAGCTCCTCGTGGTCTTGATTTCCTCGTTAAATATCAAGGTTTTGTTAACTTCATGCATATTTTTATATTCCAGCACAACTATGTTTGTTCAGTCTGAAGAAAAGTATTGGTCTCGTCCGAACTCCGAACATACAAAAACTCGAATTTCTCCTACAGATTTTTTTTTTCAATCCATATTACAAGTAAAACCATACCTATTAAATAGGTATATATTACTACTGTTAGTACCAAATCGTATGTAAACATTTTCAATTTTTTACATTTTATAGTATCCAACTGATATAAGTAATCTGCTACTATTGAAAATAGCAGAAGGCAATAAAATATGAAATTATACAAATAAATCATAAAAGAAATCATAAATTGTTCACTGATGAACAAAACATGAGGATGCCAAATCCTTATATGTTGAAAGATGATATGTTGAAATTTCCGAAAATGGCTTCTCCCCCAGATTTTATTCTCAAAATAAAAATTTTGAGAACTTGTAATATAGATATTTTTAACCAATGAAAACGGCTAGGAAGCTATATTGACCTTATTTGGAAGGCGTTGTTGTTGTATATAGATAGAAATTATTCCAATGAGATAAATAATAATATTAATTTTTATACATTAGGTGATTTAAGTTTTAGGCTTTTCTTTGCATTGTATGAACAATCATTGTTTTGCGAATTAGTCAGCAACCGTATTCAGCTCCTGATGTATGATTATACAGTACCATGTTACCCAGTTCCGTATAATTATGTTTTGCTACAGTGTTACGTTACATCACTTTGGCAATAAGTTAGGTACGCATTTCCTGATCTCTAATGCAGACTACCAATGGTTCATTTTCTTTCTACTAGTTATATAGGTTAACCATAAATTTAGTACGTAACAGAAAATAAAAATTAGGCACGTAGACTAAAAAGTTCCATTTAGATAAAAAAAAAAATTCAAATATGATTCCTTATGAAAACAATAACTAAAGTCTATAAAATTTTTATTAGATTTTATGTCTTATTTCAGTTAAATTTTATTATAATAAAGTAGGTGTTATTTGCTATTTGATCGATCTTATGTTTTCTGTTTATTCTTTTAGAGTTATTATATAATTAAATGTAAAGATAAATCAGTCTGTGCTCAGTAAATGTAAACATCTATACTCGTAGATGTTTATATTTACTGAATATGCCATTTTGTAATCGGTAGATTTTTTTTTATTTTCTAATATGCTTACTCTGTTGTAATTCTGTGGATCCACTCCCTTCAAAATCTTCATCATCTTGAAAAAGTTGTTCGTTCCTTGGGGTAAGTGTAGTTTCATCCATGGGATACCAGTGAGAGGGTGATCTAAAAAAAAGTAATAATAATTAAATAAAATCAAACTTTTTCAAGACCTAGTCTTTTTATATTATTTCTCAAAGCTATAAGATATTTTTTATTTGATTGAGTCATCACCTCGTTCAGGTGCAAAAGATATCACCATTCCTCAGAAAAATCAGGAAAACAAACGAGAAAATAGAAACCGTATTAACGCAAAATGTATACAATATATGGTCAATCATAACCATGATAATTCGAAGCTTTTCTAAATTACCAACAAAACAATAAAAAAAAAATCGAAATCGAACCATTTTTAAGAGTTAAATAGAGCCTGTTGTAATTTGTAAACTTTTTTGTTTAATATTTTGAATTGAACAAGGGAATGAAAATTAATCTCTCTGTATAATTATACATTATATTTAGTTATTATTATATTGTATTAACATTTGTTTGCTGTCTGATGTAGTATACGGATTATTTGCACGAGAGATAATAATAAAACCCTTAGTGAACCCGAAGGCTTGACGCCGACACTACCAATCTCTGTCTACATAACTCCATCTACATGTCGTCGTCGAAACCCAGTCCCGCCAGATTAGCCTTAACGCAATCCTCCCACCTTCGCTTCGGTCTAACCTTTGGACGTTTACCAGTCGGCACAGCAAATTCTTCGGTCCGAATATTCTACGCAATACTTTATTTTCAAAAAGATTAAGACGTTGCTCATCCCTTTAATGTAAGGCCATGTTTAGCATCCATAAAGAACCGCAGGCAGGATAATTTGTTAATTCTAATTTTGAAATTTCGCGACAGGAGATGAATTAAAATAACACTCATTAGCCGCCTTCAATTTAATCTTAATTTTCTCTTCGATTTCGTTTTTTCTAGTTATTCGCGCGAGAGAACTTTTTATAAATAATTTTACATATGGTCACTAAAACATGTAAGTAGCAATTGATAAAATACTTACGTTTAAAAAGAAATCGTTCTTCAGAAAAAAAAAAAAAAAAGTTCACGCAGCATAATATGTTTATTCAATTAAATAATAGTAAATATTTAATTTTAAAACAGAAGGACCTTTTTCATTACACGAAAAGGAATAACTATTGTTTCTGGCGGGTACATATTTGATTGATTAATACACATTAAATTTCATTACTAATTGCAAATACAATTATATAAAACAAAATACGATGGCGATCGTTTAACTTTGAAGTAAAAAATATAATTAATTGTAAAAAAATTATGATTTATGAATTTATTAGGAGTGGTTATTATCTAATTTGTTTTGTCAGAGAAAGCTGATTAATATTCTGTGGTAGCATTTCTCTGTTTCGCAGCCATATTTTGACCTCGTTAGATTGTTTTATTCTCTTCTTAATTAACTGATTCTTTTTTTTTACAATTACTTTATAGACCATCTAATTACGATCTGTCCTTCATTTTCTTTATCAAATAATGTAATGAATTTCATGGGTCTATTTTAGGGAAACTCAAATAGAGTTATTATATTTATTATATAATTATAAGCCAGGGAGTGGGGTAGCTCATTGGTAGAGCACTGAGCTTCTAATGCTCAAGGTCTATTATTCTGTTTCATCGGCCGTGGATCGAACCTGGAGACGGGAGTCCCTCTTCGGGCAAACTCAGCCTATGTAAAGTTGGTATTCTTAATTAAAATAATTAGTTAAGAGAGAAAACCTGGTGGTTGAGAGCGATCTCGGTCAAATCACCACTTTGTACAGCCATTGACTAAGAAAGTACCTTCCCTATAAAGCAAAGACCCTTTCAGGGGTTGTAGTGGTACAAGTTTTTTTTTTTTCAAATAACTTATAAATACGATTTCAAAGCTGCATATAGAGAAAATTATGAATAACCAAACAGATTAGTTGTAAGATATTTTCGAAAAAAAAATTATTAACTGTCTCCTGATACATAACTTCAATTTTCTAGCCTAATTTTAGTTGATTATTCCTCAATGAAATGTAAGGGTTATCTTTTTTCTTTTTTTTGTCTATAAAATATGTATTTGCGCCTGTCAACAATAAGTTGACAATCAGCATATGTGATGGCGATAATGATATAATGACATGACAGGCATGGGGAAGGAAAGTACTCAGCAGTACCTCTTCCCTAACTTGTTCAAATTACTTAGGTTGTCTAAGGACGGAGATCCCTCATCCAACGCCTTTTTAGTCTTCTCCTCATGTCCTGTGGTATATCAGCTGTGGCCATGTATAAGTCTGTTATTATGTCCATTTAAATTTGTGTAAAATCGGTGATATAGGGTCGTTATATGTAGGTCAACTGTTGGAAAGTGGAGGTCAGTATGTAGAGTTTTGTTAGTCACGTACCAAGGTGCTTATGTCATGAGTCGCAATAATTTTGATTGGAACGTTTGAAGTTTTTGTAGGTGGGTCTTTTTAGCGATGCCGTATATTTCTGGTGAGTATGCCCATATGGGCTGAAGTAACTATGTATATGTATTCAGTTTCTGTTTTAGTTTTAGTTTTGAAGATTTGGCAAAAAGAGAGTAAAGTAGTTAGAGTCGTCAGTTAAGTGTCATGCGTTTCATTTTAACACGTGGGCCCCATGTCATCCTTCTGTCGAGGGTGAGTCCAAGGTAAAGTACCGTGTCCGTTTGAGGAATTTGATTGTTGTCAATATAAACTGGAGGGCAGGTGTTTTTTTGAAGAGTAAATGTTATATGTTTGGATTTGTCATGATTTAGTCGAATTTTCCATAGTGTGAACCAATAGTTAAAGCAAGTGATGTTGTAGAGTTAGTGAGGCCTGTGTAGGGTCTTGATGTTTTGTGAGGATTGTATCGTCTGCATATGTAGCTGTCAAGATCTCATCGTCAATAGGTATAACGTAAAGTAGAGGGGCTAGTATTGAACCTTAGGGAACTCCTGAAAAGATTGGACGAACTGAAGACACTTCCGAGCCCTTCTGAACTGAAGAAAATCTGTCGAAGAGGAAAGATTGAAGATAAGATAGTACGTGTATGGAAGTATAGTCTTAAGTTTAAAGAGAAGACCCTGTTGCCAGACTTTATCAAACGGCAGAGCAACATCCAAAAATAATCCAGTTGCATATAGTTTTTGTTCTAAAGCTCCAGCAATGTAGTCTGTAACTCTGTGCATTTGATGTGTCGCCGAATGGAATGTGCGAAAGCCGAATTGGTGGTCAGGTATTACCTGTTGGTCAGTCAATATGTCAATAAGTCTTTTATATATTAATTTTTCAAAACCTTTAGAGCATATAGGAAGGATGAAGGACTGCATATGTGAATCATCTTAATCAGTGAGTATTTCCATTGTAAAGGGAATTTCGACGTTCTTAGTATACAGTTGTAAATGGTCAGAAATACTAGAGCTTTCTTGGGCATTTGTTAGAGTGCTTCGGCTGTTATTAAGTCATAACCAGGAGCTTTTATTTTTGGTAATTGTTTGATTTGGAGTGCAACTTGAGATGGAGTAAAAGAAGGAGGTGGTAGTGTCAGCTCAAGTGGAATGTCTAAGGTGTCAAGTACTATAATCTCATGTTCTGTGTTACTGAAGTTTGTGAACGGTTTAAATACAGACGAAAGGTGGTGAGCGAAGAGTTCAGATTTTCCTCATCCGACACGGCCCAGGATCCATCTTCTTTTCTGAGTAGTGATGACAGCTCTCGGTGCTTTAACAACTTTTTGGTATGCTTCCACAAGCTTCTATCGCCAGTCAAAAGACCATTGATGTATGCGTCATAGTTAATCCTGTTAAACTTTTGGATTTCACTTTTAAGATGATTGTTTAGTCTGTTAAATGTCTGCCTATCTGATGGGTGTCTGTCAGTCTGCCATATTTTACCTGCTCTTCTCTTTGCTTTGATTAAGTCCCTCATGTACTGAGGGTATTTCGGCAACTGCTCAGTTGTCAGATTGTTGAATTTTGGTATTGCTGAAGTCCAAGCTGCTTGTTGGATATTTTGAGTGAATATTTCCACAGCCTTCTCCAGTTCTGTTTCACTTTTTATGGACACTGGGACAAAAGCAAAGAGTTTAAAAATTCTCTATAAGCATCCCAGTCAATTGGTCCATTGATGAGAGCTAGTCTTCTTTGCACGTTGACGGCCTCATCAAGTACAATAAGGTGTACTGCAGAATGATCAGAGCTCGTACTTATGGAATGAGGTACGGTACGCAGTCCTTTTGTAATAAAGAAGTCCAAAAGGTCCGGGGATTTAAGTCTCGATACAGGCCAGTATGTCGGTGTGTCAGGATTTATAGTGTCTAATAAAAGCTCGTGGATAGCAGCCCTCAAATTTCTTCATCTTGGTGTGCTTAGTCGTGACCCCCAATGTTGGTGCTTCGCGTTGAAGTCACCACCTGCTATGAAACATCGACCTAAGCTTTGGAAGACGTTGCGAAACATCGAAGATATCAACACATATCTTGGAGGACAATAGATGGAAGCTAGTGTCAATGTGTTGTTTTTCATGTATAGTGTGATGCCTGTGGACTGAATTTCGGGTGTAGTTGGTAAGTGTAAATGGTTGTGTGATGATCTTATAAGTATAGCAGTACCACCGTGGGCAGTGTTGTCGGGGTGGTCTGTTTCGTGTGTCACATAGCCAATAATACCGAATTTTGATCGTGGTGTAAGGTGAGTTTCTGTTATCAGGGCTTCATCTATACGTTTTTCATGAAGATATAAGTCCAGTTCAGTTTTGTGTTGTGTCGGTCCATTTACATTCCTCAGAAGGATGGACAAAGAGCCCGCAGTCAGCTGATTAGCTGCCATTTTGTGGATACATGGCTTGAGTCACCAGTGCAAGATGTTGGAGGATACTAAAAAGGGGCTGCATGAGGGAGTTTGAACCATTGAGTAATTGGAACAATTATGGTGGGGCATTATTTTCAGCTGAAGGTGGCTGCTGGGTAGTTTCCCGCCTCATACTTGAACTCGATGGTTTGTTGTGAGCAGATGCAGTAGCGTTATCTGTTCTTGGTGTAGTCATCTGGCTTCTCGCCGCTGGTAATCCCTG